CATTTAGTTGATTCCATAAAATTATTGTTTGTCCTAATTTAAGTGAAATAACGATAAAAAATTTTACATATTAGGTGACTTAAAAGAAAGAAAGGTAGATCATGCAAAATCAGCAAAAAGGTGGTCAATTGATGCCGATCAATTAGCGTGGTGCAAAATTCCCCCGTCCCAACCTGCAATTTATAAAAAGCGCTCAGTGTCTGAGAAACGCGATACATCCAGATTTGTTCTCATGTTGTACGAATGTAAAAAAATATTTGGGCCAATAACAATCATATTATCTGAACATATGATAACGAGTCTATGTAAGAAATTTCACAGTTTTGGCGAGTTTTGCATTTGGGTACCCGTAAAGGTTTATGTTATGGACATGTTAATTAAAGATTGGCTAAAATTAGCATTTCCGATTTTTACGTAAAACATATTCCCATATTTTTTCAAACGCAGATAGGAAGGCAGAAATAAGAAAGAAAAAGGCTTAAGATAATAGGTTCGCATACTTTTGATGAAATGTTATACAGCAAATCTGGCAAAAAATGTTAGCTAGATGTTTTAGTGACAGGTGGTTTCTTTAGTTTTGTCAACTACTTATGAAGCAACTACGAATTCAGACTCTTTCCTTTAACAGTTATCAAAACAATATTGCTCAATAACGGGAAAAATTAAAATTCTCAACTTTTATTCAAAATGTATCCTTCTAAGTTTATGATACATTTTGGATAAAAGTTTCTTCACTCTATATATCACAGCTGCGATTTTTGTCCGTAGTAAGTATGATATATAAAGATAACAAAATTTTAAAAAAATCTAGAAACAAGGTTAGTTAATGTAAGTTTTCCAAATTATTCGGATTTGAATATTGTTAAAACTTACTCTTTAATGTTTCAGATTCTAGTTTATTACCTAAAATGACTGTTTTCACGTTACGTTTCATTACGTTATATTATGCCACAAGACCTCCAACCGGATTCCGTCTAGTCGTTGCCCGGTTAAATAATATTTTTGAGAATAGCTGCCGTTCACCGCAGGAAAAAATGTTTAATTTATCATTGAAATTATAAAAAGGAATTTTCTGGGACAAACTGAGAAGATCGAAAATAATCGAAACATTTCTTAAAATAATAATAATACAAAATACACTTTAATATAAACAATAAAAATGCTTCTAACACCATCTTTTCATAAATTCATTCAGTTTTGAAAATTATGTCTCGGATCTGCTACTTTAAGATTTGTTTAAGAAACTATAATATTAAGACACAAACTATAATATGTATGTAAGTAAACTATAATATGTCCGTTATTATATTTAATATTTTGGATGCTCATTAATTACCAGTAGAATGCATCATTCAAATTATTATAAACTTAATAAAAGTAATATACATGTATTGATTTGCATATATATAGATAATTCAAAATTAAAAAGTAACAGTAATCCCAATTATATTTTTCATCCACTAGGTCTGACAACCTTCAGAAGGTTTCTCGAAGGTACTACCACCCCGCCCGTTTGAGAGACCGTAAAAGTTTTCTTTTCCCCCCCAGAATAGTACAGCGTGTTGTTTAAGTAAAAGCTACTACAAAGCATATATATATATATATATATATATATATATATATGTTTTTAAATAAATTAAAGGTATATTTTTTAAATACACTGATGTAGTTAGCAATGCATCTAATTCATATGATTTAAAACACAAGTCAGTGACAACTTATTTAAACATTTTCACCATTAAACCGAAAAGGCAGACAAATTAATGAAAGAAGCTAGTGTAGTATAAATAAACGTGCAGTACTATAAAGACTGTGCGAGCAGAATTGGGTTGGAAAATAATCATGGAAAAATCAATTCTAAATATTCTAATTTTAAATGTTCCTCGAAAAGTTCAGAAACAAGAGCAAGGTAAAGATTTATAAATGGAACTTATTTAACGAAGTTACCTTCAGTATCAGTCATGGCCTGCAGGAAACTTTAAGAACAGGCGCATTTCGCAAACTCAGGATCTTGAAACGTTTGACAGAATCTCTTCCTCAAATCAACTTTATTGCTATAAGTAGTTTTATTAGAGTTCTCAACTGCTTACCAGGCATAGCAGTCAAGACGATTGCAGTCAAGTGAGTTTTGAGGCTGCATATCAAGTGTAACAAGTTAAATAATCCATCCTGGAGCCATTTTTTATTTTTCAGATCGTACGGGGTAGTGTAGGGTTTTATTGTAAGACATAAGGTTTTGCTATGGAAATTTCTTTAATCTAAGGTTTGACTACAGTCGTTAAAAAGTTTCGGCACATGTTTGGTTTCTCTCAAGCCATTTCAAAGTTATGGGGGACATAACACTTCAGATCAGATTGATTTTGGGTCTTCCTGACAACTATGATCTTCACATCAAAATTAGAATCCTTTAAATGTTTTCTAAAAGTCTGAATTGTTCGAAATGACAACTTGGCTACAAAGTCGTTGCTGGTCATTAGGGAGAAGAGGGAGTAGAATATTCCTTCTCTACTACTCAGGCTATGCATACTTGCTCATTCTGTTTGGAATCTGCATTTTTCGAAGTCTTTACCGATAATGGAAAATACGGCGTAAAAATCATGGAATAAGAAAAGACCTATATTATCTGTAATTCTCCTGTTTAAACTAGCAGTTTTTATTCGAGCACCTTGTAATTTCAGAAGTCAAACAGTATTTTCTCGTTCGAACGTGCTGATGAGACAAAAGGCATATACTTAGAAGCTAAGTCTAAAGAGCCATTTAAAATATTCTATTCAAATGTTAAGAAGCAAAACAAACGAAAAAGGTATAATTTAGCTTCGAAATTTTAGTACTGTATATTTGCTTTCAATACTCTAGTTTTCCGCTGCTAATTTTTGTACTTTTTCAGATTAAGTTCATTTGAGTATGGATTTCTGGTAATTACATGATAATTGACAAAAATGTTTTAAAAGCCAAATATTACGTTTTTAACGTCATATACTTACTACAAAATAATGATTTAACACTTAAATTAAAATTTAATCTTTAACATTGGCTTTGAATTACTACTCTCTCCTGTTAAAACAGGAGGGGGAGCTATTATTTTACTATAATTGGCGAAATGTTACATATATCCTTTATATATATAAAGGATTACGGTACTTGTGTATACATTTGAATTATCTGTTCTCATGCTTGTCGTAACGATATCTTAAAAATATTAAACCATTGGTTATGCCCCTTAATGTTTTGAATTCAAATTTAATTTATTGCAGACATAAATGAGACAGATCTTTGTCTTACATATCGCTACTGTCAGATCATAAGTACAAAGGTCGTAAAATCTGAAAAAAAAACAAATATTACAAAACCGTCGAAATCATCATGACACAGAAAAATTTCATTGCCATAATATCGAGAAGAAAAAATATACTCAAGGTGTCAATCTTTCTTACTAAAACTTCATAGTCATTACCAGAATGGATATTGCATTAATACTTTTATTGAATTTAAAATGTAGAGGAAATACTTAGAAAATACACAAGTCCTACTCCATTGCAAATGTCGGTTTAAACAGAAATCCAGCCATGTTGCTATTTACAGTCTCTTTATAATATAATTCACAATGTAATATTTTAATTTTTAAAGCTCAGCTATTTGTTTCTGTGTTGCCTTTTAAATATACAAGGATATAAACAGAAATTTATGAAAATATTATGAACAAGTTTTATTACCCTTGAAATACAATTAAAAAAATATAGAGATTGCTACTGAAAGATTATCAGTAAGTTTCAGTTTGGGGGTAAATGACAGTATTGTGGGAGAATAAGCTAGAAATTCTACAGTGGAGACATAATATTTCTAAAAATGCCTTTCATTTATCACAGTAATAGTATACAAGCAACAATAAAGACTATTGTAAAGAAGATATTGTCAAGAAAGGATGCAAAATTTTATAATGACATGCTTTGTTTACACAGATAAGCAATATAATGTTACATAATTTGGCAGATATATAAAAATATCTTTTGCGGGTGGATTGAAAATAAATTCTTTTTTGTCTTCGGTCAAAATTTTCTTCATTATGAAAATAAATGGTAATTAAAAATACCAAATATTATTTGTTGCAAATAATTTACGCTTTTCAATAGATGAATGTAAACAGCAATACCAAATATAACCAGGTGATATTTGTTATAAATTAAGTTTAACTAATAATTTATTTTAAATTCTCATTCAGTTTTTAAAATAGGATTTTGGTTATAAGGTTTTGGGAAACAGTATGACCTAAGCCTAAATATTTTTTTTATAACATATAAATAGAACACAACATGTATAAACATAGCCTTATGAACTAAGTTTTCACAAAATGTTTCTGTTCGTTACTCATATTCAGGGTGAATTGCCTTAGTTATGCTTATTCTTTGAGCTGGATTGTAGGTTCTAAATTGCTAATAGTTTTTCTTCTATTTTTAACGATTTCTCTTTTACTAATTTTTCAAAGCTCTAGGATTTCTTTTAATCTTGTTACATCAAATTCGAATTCTTTCAGCACTGTTTCATTCTTAGTATTTCTCGTTACCTAAAGAATAAGATAAATTAGGACTAGACTTTAAAAATTGCTTTGGAAGCAACCATATTATCAGTATTGCATTATTACTCATTATGTAATTTTTAAAAGGTTATTCTTATTTATTGCTCCCCATTTGTTGCCTAAAAAGTACTTTTATTTTTTCCTAGGATAAAATAAAAGTAATTCAATATCATTCAGAATTTTAACGAAAGCTGCAAAAATCAGCTTTTTTAAAGTTTCTAATATTAGATGCTCAGATCAGCTATTAACATTCTCATGAACGCGTAACCTAAAAAATAGATTTTTATAAGTTTTTGAAAGCATCCATACGATGCCAATGCACAAATAATGCTAACAATGTGAGCTCAAAAAGTGGAATAATCATATTTATTTGGCGAGATTTCATATAGCTCCTGGCAACCCTGCACCAATTGTGATCGTCTTTCTGCGGCTGGCTCCATAACTAGCAGGTGTCCAGAGCAGGCGGTAGTGTAGCCGGCGATTCCTCGCAACATTTGAATCGTAAGTGATTCTGAGAATTTTTTTGTTCTTTTTATCGTCTGCTCTGCATGTCAAAAAAGGTAGATTCCAGTTTGTCCAAAACAAATGGCAGTAGTTATTTCAAAACTTTTTTTTTCCCTTCTCTTCTATGAAAACTTTTTTTTCAAATGAATTACTCGTATTTAATATATTATTATTTATTAAATATTGAGATATTCTCTAAATCTTTCAACAATTTATTTTTTGTTTTTGATTAACAAAATACTTTAAATCAGGTGGATATTAGAATTATAAAATATTTAAAGAGGAAATTTTTGTTACTCTTCAATACAATTTTTAAATTTATTACATAGAATATATTAATGAATTTACTTCATAGGTTCCATGTAAACCCATTTCCAGGCAGTTCAGGCCATTTTTAGTTCATTCTTTAGGGAAATTTAAATAAAATACATTTCTATTATTATTACTGTGACTAACAATGTCGTTCTTGTTCAGAAGCTCTAGGGGTCACTCGCCCCCGCACATAATTACATGCGCGGACAAGACAGAAATAACATTTCTTTTCGTTCGATAAATTATTTAGTTATTATTACAAAAGATGACATTTTTTTCCTTGCCGTGCGACGTATAATATAGTAAAAATCGTTACTTTCATTAATACATGATGCCTCTATTATTAAGCCAAAAAACGCAAATAATTAAGATGAATGTTCAAACCATACGAATAAAGCAATTACTGTATTGCTGTACATAATTAATGTAAAAATCCTTTGGAAAAAGCTTAGTATTGTCAATCAGTATAATTCAAAATACATAGAGAATAATGCTAAGAATTAAATTCGAAACTCTGATAAATTTAGCATCGAAAGTAGATTGGGGATGACTTCCCGGTTAATGCTGGACAGTCCCGGAATTTGAAACAGTGTCCTACTTCAGTGCATGTCTGGAAAATATACCGAGTTCTATAATTATGATTTTGTTAATCATATATGTATGTATTTTTGTATATAATTATATATACGGACTGAGGCATTTCTGTAAGATAAAAGTAGAAGAAATTCATTAATTCAATTATTATGTGTTATGGAAATATAACGGAATTCGGGTTGTCCATGTGAAAAAAGGTTTGTGAACGAATTGTGTGCTTTCTTTTTTAATTGTGGCTTATATCTGGAAAACAAGGTAATCATATCCACTCATTTAAGAAATTTTAAATGGATAAAATATTGAAATATCTGGTAGTTTGAAGGAAAATTATTCTGTTACAATTAATTTTATTTTTGCAAGAAAAGAAAAACTTTTTGAGGGTCTGATAGCTAATTAATTTATAAAGTAATGCATTTGAAATGATTTCAACAAATGAAAGAAGTTTGAGGGTCAAACTGAATTGTCACAAAACGAAGCGAGATTTTTTTTTTTTTTCTTTTTTTTTTTTAATATTTTCAAAATAGGTTTTTCCCCTCCCTCCCTCAAATTTATAAATTGGAAAAATTGAACTATGTCTGACGTTACCGCAGGGCAAATATACATCATGCATTTCCCATATAAATAATATGTAGCTACTTTAGTAACTATTTTAATCACAAAATATGATATTTCTAAATGGTGTGAAGTGTTTAATTGGTACAGAGAACGAAACGTTCTGAAAGGAAATATATTGAGTATATAAATATTGCGTAAAATCTTAGAATGTAACAATATTTTTAAAAACTTTTTTGTTTTGTCGTTCGTGCTGTGAAAATTTAAGGATATTAAGCAACTGTTTATAATTAAAAATATTGCATATATTATTAAGTTTTTTTTAAAAGACGAAGAAAAATAAAAGGTAGTCATCAAATCTAATATTTTTTAATCAACTTCTTTTTATTGTATCCTTATTTAGATTTAAGTGCATATCATGTAATATAAATTAATTGTTCTGGCATTTGACCATTCAAGAATATTTGACTCCAAATAAATTCATTATCTTCCTTATCCAAATGATTAAGTATTTATATCGATTACTGGATTATGTCCACAACAGCGGAAATATTGTTGGTTTTAGAAAACTGCGTTCGGAGTTAAATTTTCCATTATGTCAGAAAATTAACTATCATTGATGACAATATTCCAAAAGAGAGGTTGATGAAACTAATGCGTATTTGTAGATGTTATAAATTTTTACTTTTTGATTTCTTGTTATTGCAAATTATAATTTTTTATTTAAAAATATTCATGCATTTAAATTATTGTACAATTATTTTTCATCGGGCCTTTTTCCACTTCATAAAAATGTTAAAACTCAGATAGTTTTAAATTCAATGTCTGAATAACTTCGGAAATTCAATACTTTCAATGGGGTAATTCTAAATGGAATAATTATTTTAATCTGAAAACCTCAAATTTTGATCTAACCAGAAGAAGTTATCCTAAATATCTTCAAAAAAAATTTTAAATATTAAAGCTTCAAATTTTAAAAAAGTAGAACATTGAAAAATTACGAAATAATTTTTTAAAAATTGTACGTAACAAGTGATGTTAAGAAAATATTTTGTTAATAACAACAAGGCTGTAAATGCTAAAAAGAGTTATCAGTTGGATGTATTATAAATTAAATGTGTTTTAATTTAATATCACTGTGTTACTAAAAATACATATGAATTATTAATGAAGTGCTTTTATTAAGTTTAATTAGGAATTGATTGATAAAATTTGAAAGACAAGTTTAAAATCTTAGGATAGGTAACTAACAATACTGTTAAGAAATGGCTATGCGTAAGAGCACATGGAAGATAAATCCTTATGTTCGCACAGCGTTGGCAAGGGCTATTCCGATATTCTTTCCTTCATTTGTCCATCAGTTTCTGAGGCATAATCGTGTTTATGGATATTATTTTCCAGGACAGAAATTTTATGTGTTAATCAAAAATAATGAAAACAATTTCGTAACATCTCCTTCGAGGTGTAAAAAAAATTAAAGCTTTTAGAAAATCCTCTAAGTTATCATCTCTTAGTTAGATAATTCTTGTGTGCATTACTATAATCAGTCAACCAATGTAAGCATTTTTTCAGTACCTAAAAGAGGCAAATTTTATCCTCAATGAAATTTCCTTACCAGCGGCAGGGTACGATTGCTGAACACTGATAATTCGATCCGGGTCTAAATCCCGATGAAGGTGTTGACCGCCTGGGAGTATTCGTAACTTCCCTCACGTCCAACTTGCATACGAACTAATTTCTCTTAAAACTTTCTCCAAGAAGGCAACCCTTTTCTTAGGCATAGACGGCCCCACCACTGATCAAATGTAAAAGACTACTGATTTGGTTTGGTTTATGCGATTCTGGCAAAGACTGAAGGACTATCTGCCTAAGGGTGCGATGCCTTTATGGAAGACTTTCTAAGGGAAACTGGCTCATATACACGTTACACATTTTCTCATATGTCACCTCATGCCACCACGAAAACGCTCATGCAGCCAGCCCGTTCGCGAGATTCAAACCTCAGATCGAACTACCAATGTTCAGCGACTTTACTGATCGAGCGCTGGTGGGCTTAAAAGATCGCTGAATACTTTAGTTTACCCTGGGTTCGAACCGAGACAAACGAGTTGGCTACGAGGTTGGTTTTCGTATTTTTCCCCATGTGTAAAGTGAATACTAGCCAGCTTTGCTTAGAAACTCCTCCACGAAGGCATATTGCTCTTAGACAGTTAGTCCTCGTGTGCTTAGCCATATTCAAGTAACCTTGCTTTAAGTAGATATCATTTGTATTCTTTGCCTTAATCAATTAATCTAATCTTTATGTGATTTAAATGAAAATAAAAGCAGGAAAGCAGAATTTTATTGGCATTTTTTTTACAATGCATATTGAAAGAGCAATATTTATATCTAAAATGATGTTTAAAAAATGAGATATTTTCTGTTCTTTATAAAAATAAGTATGATTATCAGTTATTTTAAAAACTGTGCTATTCGGCATAACTCTGCTCCCTGAAGTTGGGATAACAAGGTTCTACTCTATAAATATATTTCAGAAACAGTGGGTAAAATTTCGTTCAACTATGTTATTAATTCCCATAAATTTAGTTTAAATCGAAAAGATTAATTATTGTCAATATAGCACTTTTATTACATTAATTTTTTGAAAAAATACATATGCTGTATTTCCGGGAGAACTAAACATATTTCACCAATAAATATCTTCAGTACAACAGCAGGAAAAAATATTATGAATGTTCTTTTGACATACAAAAAAAAAAAAAAAAAAAAAAAAAAAAAAAAAAAAAACTGAAATGTTTCAGATTTTAAATTACGTCCAAAGGGGCGTTTTTTAACATTTTGTGTGTTACCTTTCTTTATTAAATATCTTGTTCCTCGCACTTAAACCATAAGATCCAGTGCAACAGCAATATCGCAAAATAGTTTTAAAACGAGCATATCTTTAGAATTTCCGATACAGAGACTCACGCGCTGGAGATAAAAATGTTTTTTCTGCACAACGTTGCCATTGCTCGCTTTGAAATCCTTGAGTTTGTTAATCAAAAATTCGTCAAAGTTTTAAAAAATAGGAAATCGATCATAAAACAAATTTCAAATTTCAAATTTGGTCTTCCACATGCTCATATTCGTTGGAGGATTACGTTATTTAAAATTCGATGACTCTATGTACCGTTGTTTTATCACAATACGAGAAATATACATACATTTATGCAGATTTTTCATTATTTAATTTCTTCAAATATAATGCAGGACTCTAACATTTTGTGGCAACAGTTTGAAAAGTGAACCGACATTTATGAGTCCGACGCAAAATGCCAAAACGAAACTAATAGTCCTTCGGGATTCAAATCCCTTTGTACTAAAAACAGATATTTTAGTTATTTCTATTTTTGATTTTTTGATTTTCTTAAAGGAAGCAAATATTTTTACAGAAAAAAAAAAAAAAAAAAAAAAAAAAAACAATATATTTGAGTTTCTAGAGTAAATATGCAGTGATTAAATTAGCACAATGAATAAATTCTAACAGAAGAGGCAACGTT